ATTTTTCATCTTGCCTGCTTCCAAAAAAATGCCTAATGTCTCTACAAATTGATGAATCAATACAGCTGCCTATATATCAATGAATGCATATGTTACACTCAGTGCACTGTATGTGACATGTACAAGTTTTTGTTACTTTCATGTATAGTGTATATTTCTGTATGTGTTGATGAAACAGACCACCCATTCTCATTCTCTATTACTTATAAACATAGTGTTTCATTTGTTTTATGTCTGATTCTTAAACCCAAATCTTACTTTGTTAATTTAACTTTATTTGCTGTAATTAAGCAGTTAATCATTTTATCTCTTACAAATTTCATAATACCATGTATAGTGTTATCCAATCTCTTAAAAATTTTTTCCATGAAGATAAATATATTTTAATGTTCGGTGAATTCATTCGATGTGCATGTTTGTGTTAACACCACTATGAAGTCTATAACAGTATGCCCAGCTAGATGTATTTTGTAAATAATATGTTTCAAAGTAATTTGCAAATTCAATAGTGTCAGGATCTTCTTTAAGTAATTTTATTGCTGCTTCTGTCAGTGTATGAAAAGTATGAATGTCTTGTTCTTCTAAGAGAGATCTAATTTTATATGTTTTTGCCTGTTTTTCAACACCATTGATTTTTTTTTAAAAATGTTTTTCTCCAGGCTCTATCAATATGCCATGCACAAAAAGACGTTTCTGTAGTAAACCCATTTCAGACTTCCAAGCATTAAAAAAAGATTCAGCCATATCAAATATTTGTGGTTGTATTTGCCCAACATTTTCTTTAATACATGAAAAAAAAAAAAAAATGATAGCACTGGCTGATCACATGGATTAGAAATTAAAAATCACTTGGGAATCCTTGCACAAATCATCTATTGTAAGTAAAGTTATGAGTTCAAATCTGTATGCATTCACCTTATGTGTACCATCAACACATATAAAAGTCAGAACTAAATATTTTTAGTATCTCTCCTTGTGCTTCTGGCATCATTATCAAAACAAAATCATTTCCTTTTTTAGATTTAAAATGAATCATATGTGTGTACAATATTCATTCATGCTATGTTGATCCCTGGGTTTTATAAAATGAAATGCATGGATGTTCAGAATTTTGTATTTCAGGTACCCACGTATCTACACAAACCCAATCATTTTCATGTCTAACAGAATTAAAAGACAAATTGAAAGATTTTTCAATGTTATGTAAATCTTTTTACTTCCTTGTACAAAGTAAAAAGGAAGTATTGTAATCGTGAAAAGTTTCAGGCAGCATATTTCAAAGAAAATATCCATTTTGATTGCTTTCGAATGCAATTTAACGATGTTTTTGCGTGATATCTGTACGTAAGGACAGAATAAAAAACTCTTTTCCTCCAAAAAATTATAAAACTGCTTTAAAATGAATTCTGAAGAGAATTTTTCGTTGCGTCTGTACGAACGTATGTACGGACGTATCTCGTATAACTCTAAAATGAGTAGCCCTCAGAACATTGAAAGTTTGTATATAGGACTACTATAACATGTAGATGTGCACCTCGTATTTTGGTTGCAATCGGCCGCGCCAAACCTATATAAATATATTTATATATATATCCATTCTGTTACACATATCAGTGATCTCAGTTTCTTTACTCTTATATGTTTGTAAATTGTACACTTTTTGCTTTAAAAATGATTGAATTATGTTGTTCTTATCTTCCGGTTAAGGTTTTTATGCCTTTAGTAAATCTGTATGCAATATTTTTACAATTATCAACAATTTTAAAGTTGTTTAAGTGCCACTAAGCCTAATAATTTTTTTGATGGCAGGCATTACTTGTTTACATTTGAAACAGCAGAGCAGTGGATTTGTTGCCAATCTAGAGAAATATAGCTTCGTAACAACAAAAATAATGCCTTCATTTATTATTGCGAATTAAATCATGCTTAATCCTTTCTGGAATTTTTTCGAGGAAATAATTTTAATGCAGATATTTTGAGTTTTTATGTATTTTTGCCTTGTCGGGAAGTGAGAACTAAATTAATTGAATGAAAAGTACTCAATCGTCTGTGAGAAATTGTTTCTTTTTTGTTTTGTTTGCTTAATTTCTTTTATACATCGTTCTAGCTTTATTATAGTATTTTAATAGAATATGTGGCAACAATTGGATAATTCTTTAAATGATATAAATTTTGTGCATTCTGAGTTATAATATGAACGAAATATAATACTGTTAAGTGCACCTAGCTCCAGAGTGTTGCTATGGTAAACAAATAGAGTGAATTTTAAAGAATGAATTTATTCTATTGTGGTTTATGCGCTGCCATTGAAGTAGTTTTAATTCAATCCAATAAGTTTAAACAAAATGCAAGAAAAAAGGCATATAATTTAATATTTCGTACAAGGAAGTCTCGAACCCTCTCAAGCCCAGCATCTGATAGAGAATTTCTAATTTAATCTAAAATATTATCCAGAGAAATTTTTGCTGCTATCTTTGCTGCAATATTTTTTATTTCATCTGTTGTTAAAAAATAAGTGACCTAAATCTATCCGATGCCCAATATGTATTTTTGGGTATGCCACTACACATTTGCCACCTGTATGTTTCCGTTACTTTTAATGCAGCTGGGCAATATGCATTTATTTTATTGCTACCAAGGATTTTTAAGTGACACAAACCTTTACTTTCTGATATAAAATTTCCTGAACAGTGGCATTACACCATGTATATTAAATATGCTTACTCCATAAGAAATTTTGACTTCGTATTATTTTCAATTTCTGCCTTCCATGCCAAAAAATCATTAAATGAATTAAATTCTAGTTCAGTATGATTCAAATCAACATCATGAACATTATTGAAATGAAATATTATTTCTCGCTTTTCAAAATTAGCATAACATACAGGACACACATAATTACCTGTTAGAAGTATGAATTTTTTTTGATGATATTTCCAATTTTTTAGGTCACTAAATTTCAGATGGCAGTCCTCACATTTGTAGCTTGGTGATCGACCACTTTTTAAAGAATCATTAATGTAGTATTATTAGAGTGTAATGTATTGGCATGGCATTTCAAACGGCATTTATTTTTGTACGTTTTAAGCAATCAGAGCATACAAAATTACTCTCAGTCACACTAAAATCATTTGCACATCAACCATTCTATTAGAATAATACTACATTGAGTTTTCAGAGACTCAATTAATTAATTGAGTTTTCAGAGACTGAATTAATATAGTATTATTGTAATGAAATTTATATGCATGGAGTTTCAAATTGTATCTCTAGTTGAAAGTTTTAAACAATCACGGCAAACAAAATCACTCTCAGCTTTTCTAAAATTATTTGCACAGTCAACCATATCACTCAATCAGAAGTATCACACATACCAGATTGGAATTATGGCACATGATTACTCCTTCCTGATTTTGATTCGATTCAAAATCAAAAATTCCTTCTGAGGAAACAGAAGTACTTAACCCTGAAATGGGTAGTTTTTCTTGATTTTGTGCAGAAGATATAATAATTAAAGCTAAAAAAGAGAACTGTATCAGCAATGACAGGCTACCAAAGCAGTACAAAGAGCACAGTAAATAACAGTAAATACGGGGCGCCTTTAGGGAAATAACGATATGCGCAGACATTCAGAGAGGAACCAGGAGGAAACTAGCATCTGAGGGGCTAGACACTTGTGACATTGCAGGGAAACTATTGACAAGTCATTAACGGTTGGAGTTACTGATCTACAATTGCCTATTCTTCAAAACCAGCAAAGCGCTCAACACCTGATAGATGATGACAGGAATATTCAGCCAATCATCGGATGAATTAGTTGGTTCCATTTTGCGTACTGGTTCTACTACTCTGTATCTGAAAAATCCATAGTTTTTCCCATACTTTTTGTTGCTTGTAGTTTTTCATGAATTTCCGTAGTTGGTGTCTATGCAAAAATATCTTCATTAAAAGTTGAAAGATATAGAAAAACATAAAACACTAAATACAGAAATACAGTTAACACAATTTTTCCCCCCCTCCAATTAAAGTTATTTTTTTAACACACACACACACACACACACAAAAAAAAAAAACAAAAAAAAACAAAAAAAAAAACAACCACCAAACAATTTGGCCAGCAGTGAAGAAGGCAGATTTTCGGTGCACAAAGACTTAATTCTCTGTTCTGCTAAGTTTCAAATGTAAGCAAATATGGCTGCTGTAGTAAAAAAGATTAAGCTTAGCCACATTTAAACAACTTTGTATGAACAGATGCCATGAAAAAATTCTCTTCTGAATCCATTTTAAATAAGTTTTGGGGGAAAAGTCCTTCATTCTGTCCTTACATACAGATGTCATACAAAAACATCGTTAAATTTCATTCACTATCGGTCAAAATGGATATTTTCATTGAAATATAGTACCCAGAATTTATTGTTATTACAATACTTCCTTTACTTTGTACAAGGAAGTAAAATGTGGATTTTGCACATGGGGCCTCACATGAACTTGCAAACTACAACTAATGTTTCTGATATTAAGTCAGCAAAGTTACAAGAATTCATTTTTACAACATTCATCAACTCGCAAGAAAATTTCATTAAGAATTAATCACAAAAGTAATCTTATAAGAATTGTAAAAAAACCAATGTCAGAATGCATAAACAGTTTAGTAGCAATATTTAACTATTCTTTTAGGATTAACTCACAAATTAATTATTTTACTCGAACAGTTTAACACTGATATTGTTGAGCAGTGAACACTCTCTGGACACATAAAAATGCACTAATCTGCACATATGCCTTGGTTTGTTAGTGTCAGGGAATTTTTACATAGTTTATTTACATTAACCATACATTTACTGTTTTTTATTCATCACTGATAGCTTTCTGCTAAATTGCATGGATCACTCTTCACATAAAACATACTAGTATAGGAAAACATTCTTTCTTTAGAAATTTAAATTTTAAGAGCTTAAAATTAAATTAATAGATCAGACACATTACTACATTCAACTTACTTCTCGTTTATATCGCTCTCTGTCCCTTGCAGCTGAATCTAAAAAAGGTTCTTTTTGCTCTTCATTCATTGCATTCCATTTGGCTGCACATTCCTTACCAAATTCTCCTATCTGCAAATATATTTACTAAAACATTAACATAATAAATATACAATATCAACAAATTTAAAACTCAGAAACTTACATTTATATATATATATATATATATAAAGCAAAGTATATTAATTTATAAAACACACTGGTCATCAAAATTAAAGGATAATAAGAAAAATTATGTTCACTAAGTTAATGTTGCAACCAATGCTGCAATTATTTAATATTACTTAAATACAACTGATCACAAAATTGCACTTCCGCAGCAACATTAGTGCTGTAATATGGAAATTTGGTGAAGAGTGATTCTAGATGTGATTTGATCTGGAGACAAAAAAGAACAAGCAACTTGTCTTCCCTTGTCAGTGAAATACCCATTTCCACTACTGTTTAATGGTTTGTGAAGGAATCATAACAAATGGCAGCACCGAGCTGCATACCTTTAAGGAGGTTCTTGCTACTACTCGGAGGTATGTGCATGAGGTATTGGAACCCCAAGTTTAAACTGTTTGCTGATGCTGTTGGCCCAGAGTTTTTACCCAGTTCTGGATGACAATGCTCGGCCTCATCAAGCATATGTAGCGTCAGAATACTTCCAAACAGAAGATATAACTCGAATGGATTGGCCACTTTACTCACCCTATGTGAACTCGACAGAGCATGTGGGAGCTGCTTTACATCATCATATTTCAGTGTGTCTAATTGGAACTAAAGCTCGTGGAGGTCTAAGGAGCTTCTAAAAAGGAGTCGAGGAACTTCTTCTAAAAGTGCGCTTTTGATCAACACTTTGGCAAAGTCTATGAAATCAAGATGTGAGGTACTCAAATCTGTCTAAGGCTGGGATCCCCAACCTTTTTGTCCCTAAGAGCACATTTTACACTATCTGTTGGACAATTTACTTTTTCAAGGTGAATTTATAGTTGGATACAGTTAATAATATATGCACATAAAAAAGACATCCGTCGCATTTCGCTTTGTACTGGTAAACTGTGTTGGATGCAATTCGTCTTTCATTAAAAATCAGAAAATTTTCACACAGAATTTTATTGAAAACTAAAACATTGTTATTGTGATCACACAGTGGTAGGCAGGTGTTAAACAATTGGCGGGCGCCATAGTTCCTGCAGGCATAGGGTTGAGAAGCTCTGATCTAAGGTGACCATACACCATAGTAAAGAAATTTTCTTTCTACAAGAAATGATTTAATTATTCCATCACCTTCCAATTTCAATAAATTTGATTTTAATTTCCAAATTTTGCAAATAATCAACTGCCAAACATTCTAATTATCTTAACTAATGCTTTTGTACAAAATTCTATTAATAATTCTTCATTAAGTATCTGTTACATTTTATTTCTGTCATTATCCTTTAATTTTGATGACCAGTGAACAAAACACAAACCTTAAATGTAATCAGCTTTTGGTGAAAGAGAAAAAAAAAACCTTTAAAATCTGATGTTTAAAATATAGTGCATTCTGTAAATAATGCAAAAGCTCCACATAACTTTCTTCCATATTCTGAGGAGATAAAATGTCCACAACTATATAATTCAAACCTTTTAAAAAATATTAATGAAAATTTTTGATGCCACATCTGTACACAAAAATTTTTATTCTACACCTTATAAATATAAAAACTGACTGAAAAAATAAAATAAACAGTCAATTTAATAACAGCAGTATGTACATATACATATTAACACTATACTGATATACTGAATTGACTGTACATGCATTTTCTTGCACGAGAACTATAGGCATATAAAATCATTGCAATCGATACAAGGTGCCTAAAATCTTATTAAATCTGCTGTTTAATTTTGAAGCTGAAAGTTTTGAAATGTATTCTCTTCACAGATTGTTGAAATACTCAACATTAATTCTTGCAAACAAACAAATACAGATAAATTAATATTTTGATTTCTTTCTTATGCTTATAACATTTAAACGTACGGCAGCCAGCGGGGGACATGCACTCAGCCTCTTACTCGTATTTAGCTGTAAAGTATTTAACTTTAGGTTATGAATACAAAAAAACTACTTTTATTCAAGTTTGGTATTTATCAACATTTTCTGTGCTCTTTGCTCTTCAATTTAAAATACATTAAAAAAATCATCTAAATACATGTATACATACATTCAGTCTTTGGAAAGGAGGGGGAGAATGATCTTCTAGCATTGTAAAAAGGAGCATGGAGCAAAAAAGGTTCAGAACCACTGGTCTAAACCAATATTTACTCATTATATGGTATAGAAATTCTCATCTGCATTTTTGTTTGTTTGTTTGTTTGTTTTGTTACTTTTTAGAGGGTAGGAGAGCTACAAAATGCAAAACTGTGACTGTCTGGTGCAAATAAGATGCAAATGCAGCAGAAATAATGCAATCAGTAAGCACAGTACCTTGTTTCTCAATTTCCAATTGAAAGTATAACAGATATAACATTTAACCTTTCTGGCACATTGCCTTTTAAAGTTGAAATTTAAAAAAAAAAAAAATGCTAGGCAGTCTAATCAGGCCAAGAGGAGTACACAGGTAAATTTTTGTAAAGATAGCACATACCATTTGAATTCTGTGGGTGCGCCCGAAGAGGGCACACTGAAAACAGCTTCGAAAAAAGTGCTGAAGCGAGCATTGCCGGGAAGCGCATAATAGAGTAGAAGATTTTGTTTATGATTAAAATTGATTCTGAATACCATAACAGATTTAGCATTACCCAGGGTGCACCACGGGGAGGCCTGCTACTCTACACCCCCCAAAAAAGCTCTTCTTGGTTATATAATGATTACATGCGTATAAATGAAAAAAGTAACTTTGCTATATGATATTTACTTTATTTACATTTCATATATACACTTTCATCTATTTTTTTTTTCCCATGGTGTTACTTTTTGAAGAAAGTGACACCACCTTTGAAAAGCAAAACCCAACATTGCAGGTTTTGAAATGTACTGAGATCCGTATCAGATTCACTACCTGATGACAATTCGTGTCATTGAATGCTTCAAAAATGGTCAGCTCTCTCCATTCCATTTGCAAAATACTTAAAAATCGGAAGGGAAAAAAAAAACTAATATTATATCTACAATTAGAAAATATTAACTTTTTTTTTTCTTTAATGGCGAGCACTTGCTTATATCGGCATCAGCTACTCTAAAGCCAGATTGGTGGTCTCTATTATGGAGGCACCTGACAGATGGGGCCACCATTGCCTTTCATGAAGGGGGACACAATTTTCACATCCATGCCTTCTCCGGGCCTTTCAGTGTTGCAGTCAGGCTCCCCTAACCACTAAACCATCTAGGTAGCAGAAAATAAAAACTATAAAATTAAATTTAATAAAATAAACATCTACAACTCAAAACTATCAAAACATAGAGCTAAGAAAATTTCTTTCAATGAAAGTGAAAGAAAAAAAGAGAGAACTGTAGTGAAAAACCTAAGAACTAACTGTTAAAATTACCTTTGACCTTCTGAAAAACAATGCAACAATTTCTTAGTTGATAACCCAAACCTCCCCTCCCTCCTCCAAAAAAAGGAAGAAAAAAAGAAAGAAGGAAATGAAACACAGGTGTGGACCCACCTTTCTATTGTGACACACAAGATGTTCACCGTTTAATTTTAAGCAAGATTTGAAGGTAAAAATTTTTAACTAATATAGAATAAAGAGATTAGCATACAGCCAAGAAAATAACATAGAAATTTCTTTTCAAACAGTTCTTTTTACATCCTAAAAAGAAAAAAAAAAAAAAAAAATCTGGAAGATTTCTTTAAAAAATGAGGGCTTTTAAAAATTAAACATGGCTAAAATTTATGGACTGGTTTGTGTTGTGTTGCCATCTAGTATAAATAATGAAGGTTCAGAGTAACCTATAAATTCTTTTTCTTTCAATTTTTCTGTGTGTACAGAGGGAATTTTTTAAATGTGCCTATACCAAGCACACCTAAAATCTTATATGTGGAGAGGGTTAAGATATCCATCTGATGCAAGATAACTGAAAATGATATAAAAGTAAACTTCTAATTAGCTGAGACAATATATGATATAAAATATACAATTAAGCTAAAATCATGGTTCATCCTGCAGCCTACGAATAAAGTGATACTTCATTCCTTTGCAAAAAGTATAAACACATAGTAAAGATCCTAGTTATAGCTTGAAGAATTACTTTTTAATTTTATTTCAAATTTTGCAGCTCAATGCGCAAAATTCTTGACCTCACAGGTCCTTTTTGTTTTGTTCATAAGCTTTTCTTACATTAACTATATATATACATATATATATACTGTACTGTGTATATATACTGTGTGTGTATATATCTGTATACAGTATATCTATATACAAAGACATCGCAAGCATATTTACTTGCATATCCTAGTTCTTTCAGCATACAGTTTAGAAACTTCTTGTTTATGGCAACAATGTAAAATGCATGCACATATAGGAGTATTTTATGTGAGCATAATGAATATTATTGAAACTGATAAGTCTCTTTAAATACATATAATAAAAATAATATTGTGTTTTGATGCCTGCTTTTTAATGTGCTGTTTATCATTTATTATTCATCTCTTCAGAAAATGCTTACACCACATACTTTCCCCTTCCCAATTTTCAAGTGGTAAAATTAATATCAAAATGTGGCCATAAATACTGAAGCTTTGTAACTGTGACATAGATAATGATGGTGGTGTTGAAGTTCTTTCTTTAATAACACGCAACTGCAGATTTTCACAGGTAATGTTTCTTCTGGGCTAATTTGTACGAATTTTAACACAATAAAGTAATGTGAGAGGCATGATGAGTGCATCCAATTTTAATAATTTCAGACAATTTTTTCACATTGTTACAGTTTTCCAACAGGCAACACACAGAAGTACTTAGGCTATAACTTTTAAAATAAAAAAGTCTACTAAAAAGCAAAATATTTTTCGGTAATTACTGATAGATAAGATTTTTAGTAAAAAATATAAATAATTCTGATGCTGTAGTTCAAGAACGATTTGTTGATTTATATA